CTACACAGGATTCAGCACACTGACACCTTTGCGCTGCTCGATACTGGCTACCGCACTCATTACGACCCCCCCCCCTTGGAGAATCCCCAACAATGATGTGCCCTGAGTCCGAAAATGTAACGTGTCTTACTCACTTATGGTTTGGGCAGTGAAGATGGAAAAAGGAAAATTTCATGCTTTTTCTTCATAAACAATTAGAAGATGCTGAATTGATTGTACGAGTCCACTGTTTGCAACGAAAGTTTCAACTGTCACTTCTTTAGGCGGTTGAGGAGAGCTGTTCTGGTGCTCATCAGGGCTAAGAAGAACTTACCTGAGCGAACGATGCTGACTGTAGTGCCTATGTGCCACACCAAGACCGTTATAGCTGTGAACACCAAATGGAAAAAAGCCGTGACGGAAAGTGATGAGAAAGTGTAGATTCCTAATTAATAAATCCATTGTGCATACGTTCTGTGCCGTTGATATTAGTAATAAGCTTAACGACTATGATTAGATGTGGGAGGGTGATCCCTTGGATCAAAAGCCCAAAGGCCATCCTTCAAACAAGTCTGAATCTAATTGTGAAATAGTGACCCTCTACTAACTGAACCAGCTGGAAGAGAGTCACTATTCCACTAATACTACTCCAGTACTCAGAAAAAACTTTTTCTGGAACTTTGCCCACAGTTCTTATCCAGTGCCCTAATCGCGAAAATAAGATTCATTTCTAGCTCTGGCGCCATTTGGCGCACTAGCCACCTCGACGCTATCACCTATGTATCTCATCAAAGCCGAAGGAAGTGCACATGAGCCTTATCTGATATCCTGATCACAAATATCATGCCCGGTTTTGATGTTGGCTCTACTTGGCTCCAAACTGGTGCCAAGTGGAGTCATTTTTCTGAGCAAAATTTATGAAAACTGGCATCGAGGGTCATTTGACGCCTTGATCACGAATATGACATTAATTCTTGGCACCCACCCAGTGTAAGTCAGTCTGATCATCTGCGTTCGCTGAGGCTGAGCCTGGTGGAGAGGGAATCATTCCTCGTCCCAGGCTCAATCTTGGCAGAGCGCTCTATTGCGCTGGTGTCGAAAAATGAATGTCCCTTTTGTGATCGGGTTATCAGCCAATCCTACTATGCAAGTTCTTGCGGGTAGGGCGCAACCGAGTCAGGAATTTTTGTAAGTTCTGCAGCTAGCGCCGCCGATTCATAGTACGCTCCGCCCAATTTAATTATGTCTGCATCAATTCATGCGCCTACATATTTCCTAACGTTTCTCTCTTTTCCGCTTTAAGGCTTATCTGGAAGCGAGTACGGTTTTTAGGAAGTGGCCCCTAGCTAAACGCACGCCCCGCCCAGGGTGGGCGGGGTTTAGCATGTGTGTTCCGTACATTGGCCCATGCCCTACCCAACGCACGATTGACCCGGCCAACCATTGCCTCTTCAGGGGGTATAGAATTTTCGGACCCAAGCAGTCAGACGTGGCCGTTCACGCATGGTGGGATCCTGATGCTCCACCTGAATATCTTTGAACCCGATCCCTGCAACACTACTTGGTTGAGAAAAACCCAAAAATAACAAAGAAGTATGAATATGGGTGTTTAATTTTTTTCAGATCACAGTCCAGCGAGCTTTTTGGAAGGAAAACTACTTAATAAGGGAATGGGAAGATGGCCAAAAGAGTGTGACGCTAACAGGGATTGAGTCGGTCAGAATGAGTTGCTCAATCGATGTTCTTGAATGAATTTCTTTTTGACGTCAAACGTGTAGATGTACTTATACTTCCTCAATATGATCCACACGACTCAATCACTTTCTGGACTGTCACCTCTTAGCGTGCTGGACCTAACCGTACTTGTCAGACTTTCGAGGACTACTCGCGCTTAGCACTGATTAAAAGCCTTTCCCAGAGACTGGGTTGCATGGGTGAAAGCGTTTTCACGGCGGAAAGAGGCCTTCACCGTTCCCCCTTCTAGTTGCGGGCACTATAAATCATCCATTCCCTTGCTTGTCTGAACTGGCGACCCTAAACCATTCCTTACCTAAAACCTGAAAACTAGACTAGTTAGTGAATAACTTCATTTGTACTCTCTAAGAGCTGACCTGGCAGGTTGATGCGCATATCTGTTGCACTGAATGTGTTAGCGACCATTTGTGTGCCTTGCTCCACAGGTGTAACTAAATTTCAACTTCGTTTCATCTTCGAAAAACTATTCAGATGCCTAAAAGCTCACTTTGGGGTAGTTGGTTCTTGCACTTGGGTTCCGCATAGCATACCGTGTCCGCATTACATTCTGGTTCACTGTACTCGCACGTTTTTCCCGCAGAGCATGTTTTCTTGTCGCAATTATTGTCTGAAATAAGACGAATGAGATTCTATTGGTAAGCAGATTCCTCGATAGACAAACGTGCGAAGTGGGGAACTGTGGGTGCTACTTGGTCCACTCGTTGAGATTAATGTAAAAAGTAGTTGAAAGGGCCCGAGGTAAAAACCAGTCTCATGCAGTAGATTTTCAGCGCTGTGCGAGTTTGCGATGAAGAATCGCTGAGAGGCTGTATGAGGAAACGGAAGGCGAGGGAGTGATGGAGCCGAGAAAATGAAGTGATCCCAGGCAACACTCGCGAATAGCAACACTCGTTCATTCCAGGATGGAGCCACGCTGTCGAACCGCCGGCACTAGCATCATTGCTTCAAGCTTTCGAGTGCGCCATATGGGCTCATCTTCCACATTCTCACTTGATTTCGTCGACTCAAAAATGATGACTCATGATCGGGTACTGTGACCTCAAAACTAAATGAAATAGGCAGCTCCTACGGTATACCTCGCATTCTATAAACGCCTTTGACGAGCGCATACTTTTAGCATTTTTTTTCTCAAAGTTTCTAAATTTCATGAGTGTTTCTCGCAAATATTTTGACGTTGTAAATTTTATTCTTTTGTTTCGAATCATTTATGAGCCTCTAAGGTGGCATGCTAATCCTTTTAAAGGCATGATCACCTTATTTGGAAAACCCTACACAGTTTTAATTGTCAGTTGGAATTATGAAGTGCCCAACTCTTTGCTACCTTGAAGGGAAATCCCCAAAACGTGTGGGATGGATAAGCCTAGCAGGACAGAATTCGGAGCGCAGGCGTTGCGTGGCGTCTTTTCCAAGGAGAACAATCTTATAGCGCCCTATGGACCTGCAACGTACCGATCTGGACGCCCACCGCGCCCCCGCTCACAAATGGACGACCGTTCCTGACACTCGTGGCAAGATACCATCGGAAAACTCGTCCGAAATAGCTTTTTGAGTCATTAAGAACGAAGGTTTTCTCTCGCAGGTTTCTCACCGTTTCCGTTCGGTTTTTTGCCATTTTTTCAGCACCTACACGGAGCTTTTGTAGTGACATGTGGCGCGCTTACCACTCCAGCGGCGCTGGTTTCGAATCCCGGGTCTACTCTCGCGCGCAAAACAACCGAAGCCTTTCTGCCCTCCGGGACGTAAAAATTTTGGTTTTTTTTAAGCCAGATTCGTCTGGGAGGATAAAACACTGACTTGTACATCGGCTGGCCACCGCAAGTCATTGTATAGGCCACATCGCATTCAATAAGCCACTACGATTCTGAATGGAAGTAGAATGCGTGCCGCATCCCACAAAGGGATTGATCAACGGCGAAGACTTTATCCTTTCCTTATCCTTTATAGCACCCACGCTACCGTTTCAGACAGAGCACCAAATTATCGTGCCTCACGCCTATAATGCGGCCAGTTTGCACAGAAATGGCCTTATAATTAAAGACGTCAGTAAGTCTGAATCAAAAACTCGTACATTTCTTATCCAACAAAATCATATTTTAGATATTCACATATTCTTCGAGTTGACTCGCTACCACTTCTCGAAAACATATTCATCAATGATATTAATGTCTCTACCTTAACGCAAGCCATTAAGCTCGCCCCAAACTTTTAGTGAGCTACGGGCAAAGTACACGCTAAGGATATGAATGATGTAATGTGAGGCATAGGAGGAGCAATGCCATGAAAAGACCGCAGACCCAGGTCATTATGCTGAGCGTGTGAGTTGTAGCCATACTCAATGGTCCCATTTTTTCGCTTGTGCGATGTCAAGAGCCCCACTAAAGCCCGTGTAACCTTTGCCAACTTCCTTGCAATTCATTGGTAGTGATAACGCTTCGGTCCTAAAAACAAATTGATCTCACCTGGATCTTTAGCCATGCATCGTGGGCCTGTAAGGGTCTGAACGCAAACTGTTCCATGCGAGCACAAGTTCCGTGTTATACATGAATCACCATCTTCACCGGGTGGAACTGAAATAAACATTCTGAGAAAAGATAATTATACAATATATACAAAGAAAATTAACTGGAACAGAGCTCAAGGTACTGCACTGGCTAAGACTGGCTGGATACATGACGATTACCAGTTATGATCAACTTTCACTTTACAAGAGGAGCATCTCTGAGTACAGTCTTGTTCTTTGCAAACCTTCCTCTTCATCGATGTTGCCATCCTAGGTCCGTACCAAGCGACTGGAAGGGCTGCTTTTGCTACCCACGCCCCTGTCACACGTTCTATCATTCACAGGGATCATGACTATAACTATGTGCTGTTGCGCGCACTTCTTCACACGCGCGCGTGCTGTCTACCTGACTGAGAACAAAAACACACATTAGGGACGCACTCAGTGATAACATGACAGAATCCCTTCTTTATCCACGTAATTCGGTTAGCAATCTCGAAGGTTGTCAAACTTTTAGAGCTAGACAGTTACTGACCATGGGAGCGGCCGGGTCAGTTCGTAGATGCGTTACCCTAAAACTGCATTACACATAAAAGTGCCAGATATGTTGCGACCCTTTGCACTCCTTATCCCTGAGACGGGGTAGGCGTGGCATTCGAACATGGCACAGAACTGGTTGCTCGTGGGATATAAAAATTTGAGACAACCGCCATTTTGTTCTTTGTTAGAGAGAGAAAGTGACCACATTCGGATTGACAAGAAAATATCTCTCCAAAAGCATAGCCACTACGACGTTCAGTTGAAGTACGCAGCCACGTCTACCTCATCTCAGGCATTTCGAGTGTATCTATGTATGAACGCATCAACGGGTGACGTGTTGCCTCCTCTTTTGATAACTTTTCTTTCTGATTCCTTACCCGTGCAGCCGTGTTTCGCTTCTCTCAGTACCGGTCCTACCTCTGCTTTTCAGTCAAAATGCCTTCCACAGGTTTTTTTTCAGTACTTTCTGCTTTTAACATTTCGCGTAGTTCGTCCTGGACACAGCGGGTGTTACGCGATCAGTTGTGTGAAAACCCATGGGGGGAGAGGGTCATACTTGTCCGTCGGGGAGGGGGGGGGTCAGGTTGTATTTGGTCGCCTCCCCCATCCCGCGCTCGACGGAAAATCTTTGGGTGAAAAACTGGAAAATGCGGGGACCGGGTACGCCATCCTGTGCGCGACTGTCCGCGAGGCAGGGAACTTTGTATAAAGCAGGTATTGAAGCTTGGTGAGACAATTTTGGAAGGAGGGTCAGGGTAAATTGCCGGGTCCTGGTGGGAGGCACACGGCAGAATCTTTTGCGGTAATTAGCTGAGCGTTGCTCGACTTTCACAAGCTTGCTCATTTGTGCGATGACGTTTGAATTTCTAGCAAAAGAGAAGAAAATCACTGAAGTCATAAGTCAAAATGTAAATTTCGAAAGTCAAGAGATTGGATTGCAGATAACTGTTTTACACCACAAAAGTTTGAGTTACGATTTTCAGAAGCCACTCAAAAAACCTATATGCAAGGCAGCCGAACACAAATAACGCAACAATAGCAACGGCAACTGGGCATATGCAAAATGCATTTCAAATAACACAAAAGATTTAAGAGCAAGTGCAACTGACTGAATTAAGTGGTTCTGGATGCAAATAAAATACAGTATAATTCGAAAAAACAAACATATTAAGCGAATTAAACTCACTATACCGACCCCGCAGCTGGCCGCACTTCGAGGCAGCAGGTGCGCGCGCATCGCTGAGAGGAGGTGCAGGAGCTGGAATGACAACGAATTATCTTGACATACATATGCGCTTTGCAAAGAGCTCATGTTAACTTTGGAATGACTGATGATAGCATATGAGCACTCTGTCTTGCTATCATTATATATTTATAATGCGATTAGGATCAGGGCACGTGGTACGTTCGAGATGCTGAGCATAGAGGATCGTATTGCCTACGGAAAAAAAATTTAAAGAAAAAAAGAAGAAAGAAAAAAAGAATTTTCCCGTTTTTTCTCGTGTCACGTGAGCTTATATTGACACCCCTGCCCCTCCCGTCTTTCCACTCGACGTCACTTTTTGGGAAAAAAACGGAGTTTTTTTGGAACTATGGGAAAAAAGTTTTATAACGCTAGTGCAAGTATAGGTAGGATGGAGTAGTACCAGAGGAGGAACTTCTGTGAGGGTTGGTGGTTTGCGAGAATTTCTTCAACAGAAGGAAAGAGATCTCGACATACCTATGACTCAGAGTACGTTAGTGCGTAGGGACAAGCTCACAGAACACAAAATTTTCACTGCTTTTCATGTTGTCACCACAATTTTATTTCGACAAGTAAACAATTTTCTCAGAGCTCCTTCATACAACAGGAGTGCTACTTTTGCAGCTCTTTTTATCCCTTTTATTTATGCCTTTCCTGATGGT